TAAAACCAAAAAAAAAAAAAAGACCATACCCTTTTATGTAATGATGTTTACTTTGAATTTATATTAGTTCACACAAACACTCCATCCATGCTTTTGTTCCGGCCCTCCGGTCCAGTTTAAGAACCCATTGTGGCCCTCGAGTCAAAAAGTTTGCCCACCCCTGGTCTAGACTCTGGACCTGTAAACAAGACAAGGCCCCTGCCCTCATGGAACTTCCATCTACTGGGGGAGACACCCAATTATCAAATAAACAAGTCAATGTATAATTAAGTAGTAAAGGGGAAACTGGGTAACTTAAGAGAACCAGGGAGTGGCGAGTTGCGATGTTATCTGAGGTATTCAGGGAAGGCCTACTGTATGCTGACAACTGGGAAGAGACCCGAAGGAAGCAAGGCAGGCAGGGAGCCATCTGGACATGTGGGGAAAAGCTCCTTGTGCAAGAGGAACAACATGTGCAAAGGCCCTGGGGAGAGAACGGGGTGATAAAAAAGAAGGTGAGGCAGTCAGAGTGGCTGCAGTTAAGAAGGGCAGAGAGATGAGAGCTGGGAAGGGGATGTTGGATATGGCCATCAATAGGCCCACCCACCCTGTAGCCCAGTGACTGCCCCAGGTCCTCGGTGCCTTCCACCAGACCCAGTTCCCGGCTGGTCTCCCAGCCTGCCCCGCCCTGACACCTACCAAACATCTTCCCTGGTCCCCTTTCATCCTGGCACCATCCCCCATGCAGAGTTCCAATACTCCAGGTCATTCCCTCACAATTTCCCAAGAACACAACCAGTACATCTAGTTTTTAAATATTCTTTGAGTGTCCGGCCAGTGTGGCTCAATGGATGAGCATCGACCTATGAACCAGGAGGTCATTATTGGATTCAGATAAGGGCGCATGCCCAGTTGCAGGCTCATCTCCAGTAGGAGGCATGTAGGAGGCAGCCAATCAATGATTACCTCTCACCATTGATGTTTCTATCTCCCTCTCCTTTCTGAAATCAATAAAAACGTTTTTTTTTAATTCTTTGACTAAGACAGAAACCCATGTCTTAGGTTCTCTAAAATCTAAAATATAATGCATTAGGTCTGCATCATTCATGGCGAGCGGTGTGAGGAGTCCCATTGTGAGGGCGCAGGACATCATAGAATATGTTCCCTGAGTGAGTCTCAGGAGCTGTCCAGAGGCCCCCAGAGCCAGGTCACCAGTGGGGGCCAAACCCTGCAGCATTAGGTCAACCTAGGTCCTAGCACCAACCACCCCTGTCAACTTCAAAAGACCCTCTTGGGGGAGAGGGTCACTCAGCGGAGACTCCCTGGGCTCCGGAGCCCCTTGCAGTGCCATGGTCACACTCACACAGGCGCGCGCGCGCGCACACACACACACACACACACACACACACTCACTCACTCATGGCCCTCGGCGCGCGCCCGGGAACACGCGCGCACCCGGGCAGGCTGACTTCTGTATTTCCTCTTCCTCAAAGCTACTCCTGAGATCCCCGCCAACCCTCTGCTCCGATTTTAGGGCCCCCAGAGCGCGCTGCCCCCTTTTCTGAAGGCGCGCCCCATGCGCCCCCTCTCGGATGCTGGTTTCACCCATTCAATCTCCCCCCCTCCACACACACACCATCTTTCTGGGTCCCAGCGGGGACTTCGGCGAGTCCCGGGAGGCGGGTATTTAGTGTCCCCAGGGCTCCCAGCTGCCCTGACCACCCCCTCCCGCTCCTCGGGGGGCCCTCCATCCCTCAGCCCACCACCACCCCCTCTCAGGAGCGCGCTCGCTGGGGGATTCCCTCCCATCTGCCAGCTCCCGAGAAAAGCTGGGAGTCTGAGCCGCCAGTTCCTTCTCAGGCGCAGCCTCTCAGGTCTCTAAGCCCCCATCCCCATTACCAACCCGCTTCCCAATCCCCCAGCACCAGCGGCTCAATCCTCCCGCGGCCCCCTCCAGCCGGCCTTGGCCAAATGTCTCTACGGGTTCCCAGCCCCGGGCCCTGCGCTCAATGGGTGTGTGTGTGGCGGGGGGTCCCTCTGCTCCCACTCCCCCCGCCCCCCTAGTGCCCAGACTTCCCCAACTGCTGAGCGCCCGCACGCCTGCAGCCTTCACCCCGCAGCGCCCACGGCCACCCACCCCCCAAGCCTCGGTGCCCCCAGGGAGGAAACAAAAGTGTCTCCGTGGCGACCAGAGTCCCCGGGAGCTGGACGACGCCTCCCTGTCCCAGCCCCAGCTCTCTCCCTGGCCGCGCTGAGGTCAGCGAGTCGGGGCGCGGCGCCAGCCCTGGAAACTTTACGAACCTGCCCGGGGTCGCAGGACAGCAGCTGCGGAGGTGAAGGTTCCCTGCAAACAGAGGTCTGGTGACGCGCGACCATGGGAGGGTGGCCAGAGGCTCGGTGGCCCTGCTCAGGCTGCGCGGTGTGGGTGGGCCGCCTCTATCCCGTGCCCATCCTCGCCCGCCCGCCCGCGCTCGCCGGAGAGCACACGCACTTACACTCCGGGTCGGCGGCTGCTGCGCCGGCGGCCGCTGCTTCACTTCCTCTTCCTTCCTCCTGCTGGCCAGGGACACAGTGTGCATCTGCGAGGCGGCCACACCAGCCCCGAACTCTCCTCCGCGCTGACGCTGCCAGCGGCCGGCCGCCCCGGCACCTGCGCCTGGGTGCGCGTGGCCGGTGCTTTCGCCCCTGCCTGCGGGCGCCTGCCCCCTGCACTTCACCGGGCTGGCTGGGGGGAGGGGTGCACCCACACTTTTTGAAGTCCCCCTACTTAAAATTAAATGTCAAACACCGTGCAAGCCTCAGATCTGCTATAAATAACGTGTGTGCCGAGCATGACTTCTCGGATGAGCTCACAGGCGGCCTTTCGCAGGCACTCATTAACTCCCTCACCCTCCTAGCGCCACCTCCAGGAGGCCCGCAGCGCGTGGCACCTTTTACGTGCCTTCCTTTCTGGCAGCTGGTTTGGAATTTTGAGAGGAAACTAAGGTGGGTTGCTTTAAAGCTACCTTAAGAGGCTGGTGTGTTTGTGTTGACGCTTGGCCTCTGGCCGGGGGCAGTGAGGCAAAAATAACCGCAGAACAAGACGGTCTACTGTCTCCTTACCCTGACGCTGACCTACACGTCTATGGACTAAGAGCTTTATTTCTGGTTAATGAAGCCAGGGACTCCCTAGTTTTGCATAAGGTGGCATCAGCAAGATGTTCTGCCCCCAATCTGGTATTTCAGAGTGCATTTTTCATTCATGCAACCTACTTCAGTCATTGTCTAAGCAGAAATCAAACACATTAACTGCCAGCCTAGCTGCCAGGAGGGAAAGGACGCTTGTTGGAAGGTTGCAGGAGAAACATCTGTCCTCTTCAAATTCAGAAATATCTCCCTGGGCTCCACCAGAAAATGCAAAGGCAGGTGCAAGCACTCCCTTCAAACTGCCAGAAGGGGTAGCTGGGGATAGAGAGGCACTAGAGTCCACGTGGAAGGCACAGCTCCTCTTTAAGGTTCACACCCCTCCACCCACCCCCACCCGCACCCCGCAGGAGACTGAAACCAAACCCTGTGCTGGCTGTTCTTTAGCAGCAGGAGCTCCAAGCAGCTGCTGACCACCTGAGTATGCTAGTCCTGCCTGAGACGTTCATTTAGTGGGAAACAGACAGGAGACTAGTGTGAAAACCAGCACGTAAAAGGGTGCTAATAATTTTAGTGTTGGTTACATCATTTTAACAAATGCTAATAGTTTTTCCGCCTATATTTTTAATTGATTTCAGAAAGGAAGGGAGAGGGAGAAGGGGAGAGGGAGAGGGAGAGAGAGAGAGAGAGAGAGAGCGAGAGAGAGAGAAATATCAATGATGAGAGAGAATCATTGATCAACTGCCTCCTGCACGCCCCACACTAAGGATGGAGTCTGAAACCCGGGCATGTGCCCCGACCTGGAATCAAACTGTGACCTCCTGGTTCATAGGTCCACGCTCCACCACTGAGCCATGCCGGGTAGGCATCAAATGATAATAGTTTACAGTGAATTGGGTTAATATGTTGGGTTAAGATACACATTTATACAGTATATATAACATATATACATATATATGTGTATACATACATATAGAGAGAGAGAAACAAAGTAATTTCACTGGTTTCTTTTTATATTTTTATATATACTGGAAAAAGTAAGATTACACAGATGGCTTTCATTAGCAGCTCACATTATTTTTCTAATGAACAGCCCTGAGTGACCCCTTATTATGTATGTAACCTTGGGAGAATGTATTAGTAGCAGGAATACTTGGGTCCAGATCATTATAAGCCAATAACTAAAAGCAGGATGATTCCAGGAAAGTAATTTAACGTCTCTATTTTCTCATCTATAAAAGACTAATGTTAGAATCACAACAGTCAACAGGGCAACTATCAAGTGAGGTCATTTAACAAGCGGTTGGTCAAAGGCCCGTTCACTGATGCTGCGAGGCGCTCAGAGTGATAAGAATGCATTTGGTCCACAACTTTCTCGCTGACATACAGAGACCTTAACTTCAGTGTGGACATCGGCGCCCTCAGTAAACACTCGCTGTTAAAATTGTCCCAAGAGCAGATGGGGAACTCTGTCCCCGCCTTGCACAGCAGTGAGACGAGCCCACCCTGCCGTAACCTTTGCTCCCAGTTCTGCCCTCTGCAGCCAAATCCCTTTCTCCAAGAGATGACCCCTCAGAGGTTTGGAGACGGCGTCCCATCCCATCCAAGGCTCTCTTCTGAGGAGCAAACATTCTCACTCACTCTAATCTATCTTCGTGTGATATGGTTTCAAACCTCTCTCATCTTAGCCTTGTTCCCCTCAAAAGACACCTGCCTCTGGCCTTTCAAAAATTCTAGTTGTCATATAAATTAATAAACACAGTTAGCCTAAGCTCTTGTCAATTTTTGAAAGTAATTAATACAGCCTAAGCTTTTATCAGTTATCTTTCAAATCCATCTTACTGTTGGTCCCGGTGTAAGGGCAACACTTAAAATGCTTTGCTGTGTTCCTGTGAGGCCATATCCGTGCCTATGGGGTTGGTCTTCGGGACTAAAGGCCCTGGTCCATCTTCTCCAAGTCTCTGGATTTGATTCAAGCACCCAGTATCTCCCATATCTGCAGATTAGGAAAGGGCATGAGGGTCTTGGATGACCCCCACTATGGGGCTCCTCTGCCCTGTACATTAACTGTTCAATGCCAAGCCTTACTTTTCTGCTATATTCATCAAGACATCTTAGAGGTGTCGGATGCCTTAGAGAAATCCACCTTCACCCTGGGCTCCACTGGGGGTCTGCAGTGGGCACAGTCGGGTGGTGGTGTCATGTGTAAGGGCTCCCACTCTGGACTCGATGGTTGGGTATAAATCCCAGCATTGCCCTTTACCAGCTGTATTACCCTATGCAAGTGGCAACACCTGAGACGGAAACTACATCTTCATAGGAGGACTGAGTGAGGATTAAATGAGTTCATACATGCCAAGTTCTTAGGACGGGGCATGGCCTAGGAAAGCAGTTGATAAATGTTAGCTTAGCTATTGGGATCTACACCAGACTAATCGACTGGTCATGGTAACAGAGTCCCCAAAAGGGAAAGCAACAGCCCCTCCTTTTCCACGTAGGAATTTGTAGCCATAGGGGAGGAAGAGCTAGTATCACTGCTCTGGTTCTATTTCAGCTCCTGGACAGAGCTGGAGCCACTCAATCTCTAGGCCACACTGTGGTAGAGAGGGGGCCGTGGAGGGGAGGGCGTCAGAATCCCAGGGCTGCCCCTCACTGGCAGGTGCAGAAGCCCTCGAGCGGGGCTTAGCCTCATCCACAGCTCAGATGTGAGGGAAGGGGCCCGCCATCTCAGTCTCATTATGGGCAGGAGGAAAGGAAGCCGGGAGGGAGAGCGGGCTGGACAACAAAGCTCACTGAAGCCGCAAGTCTAAACTGATTTGCTAGACTACGCTTAGGAGGAGACAGCTCTGCATGGTTGCAGATGGACAGGTGTTTGGGGGAATTTCCCGGATCTTCATTCCTCGATCCCGTGTATCCCAAACATTTATCCTTCCTTACATGCATGGAATCCGAGATAGGAGGGTGAGTGGAACCCCAACCTGCAAAAACAGCCTGTTATTTTTTAATCAATGATGGCTTATGTTGATCAACTTTTTTCTAAGTGTTCACAAATATTTATTCCTAATTCATTTTAAAGCAACAATCACCACCACTAATTGGACTCCAGACGGGCCTGGCGCATTTACTAATGTATTCAGTCATTTGCTTCAGAATTCTGCCCCCGTCAGCCTCAATTTCCTTGATCTATTGCTTGAAGATTCTATTCTCTTTTCCTGTCTTAGAATCAGGCTCCTGTTGGCTTGACTCCAGACTTCAAACAGCTCTGGGGACAGAGAGAGTGGCTTCAGCTTCAGGAAGCTGCTGCACCAGAGATAACAAGGTCCGGGCCGCCGGCAGACAAGCAAGAGACAAGGAGGTTTACTGTGCAAGGGCACCCTTTCTGTCAATCACTCATTAACTCGAGGTGCACTTGCTGTCTTCAGTGTGAGCTGCGGTGAGAGGGAGGCTGCAATGGGGAGCTTGAGAATCACGGGCGCCCCCTCCTGGCTTCTGTCTTCTAGTTGGGAAGACAGACTTGAGGCTAGTAACACCAGGAAGGGGCAGAACCCTGTGGGGAGGGATGGAACATCACTATCAGCCTCCTGGGGGGCTTCTGACTGAGTTGAGACCTGAAGGGAGAGTATGTGTTAGCCAGGACAAAGAGAGGGAAAGACAGTGGGTTGCATAATAGGGGAGGGTTTGAGATAAAAAAGAGAGAGAAGAGAAAAAGCTTGGTTGCCCTGTGAAGATATCAACATTGACTCTCAGAGCAGTGGGAAGAGGCCCGCATCTGGCAGGCCCGAGAGTCACATCACAGAGCTGGATGCATGGAGGGTCACGGGAAGCACTCACACCCTTTTGCCTTCTGTTTTGCTTTGTCTTGTTTTCCAAGTGAAATATTTTAAGCAAGAGATTGTCATGGTCAGGTTTTTTTAAAGCTTCATCCTACTAAGTGATGAGTGAATTAAAAGCGAGACCAAAATGCACGAGAAGAACACACAGAGAGTTATGCAGGAGGCCCAAGCTGGAGATGATGGTCACGCGCTAATCAAGGAACCAGGAAACTGGAGAGACAGAGGCATTATGGAGGGAGAGGCCTGCAGAACCCACAGTTGTCCATCCCAGTTGGGGAGGCTCCCAAACAAGCCATCAGCCTTCACCTTGCTGCCTTGGCCCAACCAAACACTGAACTCGATTGGCATCCAGGTTAGCCTTGTGTCCACTCTTACTTAGCTTGATCATTTCTGTGACACCATGACTCTGGGTTCATCTCCAGCAGGTCCCCACTTCATAGTCATTGTATAGCTGTTCAGTGGTGGAGGGCATACACCCCATAATGGAAACTTTACTCTCTGCACAGTCCCCTTCTGGTCTAACCATCCCAC